ATATATATATATATATACAGAGAGAGAGAGAGAGAGAGTAGTGAAGGTAGCTATACTGGTCATTTCTATTAGTTCATGGAAAAGAAAGTTTTGTGCTTATATGGTTTGATCAATTTTTCATGCCTGTATCGTGTAATCTGGACAACTACTGTGAAGATAACAACAAGCAATATACAAACCATTGTTACTCTCCTAATATCTTGTCTTGAAATTTTGTACCATTGTTTTTTCTATTTAAAATAAAAAATAATCATTAATTACGAATTTCAAAAATATAGCCTATAACATGTCTCTTGAATCAAGAAAATGGCAGGGAGAAGGTAATTTTGACAATTTGGCATTATTTGGAAAAGTACATGTATACTGATTTACTTTGGTTTGGAGTAGGATAAATAAAATTCAAATCATGAAATATCAGAAAGAAAAAGAATAGCTGCAGGACAAGGACAGCAAAAACAGGAAAGAAAGAATAAAACAACAATGGCTGCAGTATATATAAATAAATTATATTAATACGAATATAATGAGATCATGTTAATATGCAACAAAGCAGCAGAAAAGAAAACTGAGCTTTTCCATCAGTTATCAAATAGAGTGTTTGTGGTGGAGAAAAACTGGCCATTTTAATTATCTCTTTTTTTAACATGCTACAATGTTCTACCCAACTATTACCATCATAACCCAGGACCAATCACTTGGTGTGAGGAGATAAGGATTACTTCAATAATGTGTTCTACTACTGCTTCAGGGCTTAGGCTTGGATAGCAATTAGCTTTTTGATAAAGGGGCTGGCGCCTGCTGTGCATGTATATAAATCCAGCCTTAGAATATCCTCTTTCCTTGTGCTTGAAGTACTCAATATATACAAATAGGAGGAACTGTACCTCAGGATCATATTTCATAGGCTAAATTTTCCCAATTTTAAAAAACACTTCAGGAATATTTTAAATGAATTTAAAACATACACAAAACTCATTTTGAGAACATCTGGTACTGGTGATAATTACAGTGATGAACATAAGAATCCAGATCTGGACTGCTTGCATTTCAATTCTTACTGTGCCATTTACCAGACACAACTAGGGCAAATTAAACTTTTTTTCCTCTTCTCTAAAACAGGAATAAAAAAAGTATCTAAATCAAAGGATTATGTCAGGGTTAAATGAGCTAATTCAAGAAAATGATTATACCCTCAAGTCTGGCATATAGCAAGTGCTCAATAAACTACTGTTATCATCACCGTCATCAACCTGTACAAATTAGCTACTTTCCTGATACCCAAAACTGAAAATGCTTTTTATAAAACCTAAATTCAACCTCTCAAGAGAAACAGCATAAGTTTATAAACAGATCGATAAAACTAACTGAATTGCATGAATTGTCTGAATTAAATGGATCACTTTGGGGGGCTGGGGATTTAGCTCAGCAGCAAAAAGCGCCTGCCTGGCAAGCGCAAGGTCGTGAGTTCGGTTCCCAGTACCGGAGAAAAATCAAAAAAAAAAAAAAATGGATCACTTTTCACTATTTATACATTATAGCAATTCATAACTGTTTATAAAAATAGTTATAAAAGACAGGGTGAAAAGTCACACAACTGTAAAAAGTTAAACACTTCAAGGTCTGGCTCTGTAAGCGGCAAGACTGTAAAACTGGAGAACAACAAACTCCAAAGAAATGAGTAAGGGAGAAATACTGGGGAAACAGACCACCTTAGAGCCCCATTTCCTCATTTAGGTACAGTATGTGTTTCAGGTAACTCTTCATAACATGCCACCTTCCACTTCCATATGAAAATGCCTGACTTTAATGCTGGAACAGTTTCTTAACCATTGTTCTCAGGACACTGCTACCACCAGAACATATTCATATTCTGAGGCACTTATAAATCCACTTTCACATTCAAAAATAAGTCCAGAGCTAACTTAGCTCTACCTAGAAACATGCACTTAATATACACATCTATGTAGCTCCAATGTAAAAAAAAGAAAAAAAACTTTTTTCATTTGGAAACATAGTAGCCAATTCTAGAAACCTTTCTATATTAATAATTCATAAAATTTCCTCTTATGTAGCCTATTATCCCACCCCAAATAACACTCTTCCATGTCATAACCATGAAAAGAAATTATCGTCTTCCAACCAAAAAATAAAACCCTCCAGATGGCTTTCCTTACATCCAAGGAACACAGTTCCCAAAATATCATCCACTTTTGTAAAGAGTCTCTCCTACTTTAAAGCAAGTTCCTTAAAGACATTTTAATTATGTCTGGGATTTGCTTACAAACAATGTGGGTAAGTATTTGTAAGGTAGAGAAAGGAATTATGGGGGAAGGGGAGAATATCAATCAAAGTTGTCCATGTACTGATAACTGATAAGAGTTGTGCAGTGGCTAATCAGACTCTTTGTACCATTCTATTCTGAAAACTTCCATTTAAGAAAATTCAAAAGGTAATTAAGAAAATATTTTACATATATCAATAGGCTTCTAACACTACCCCTCACTCTAAACTAACCAATCCCATTAAGAAATATAGTCTCGGGGTCTGGGGATTTAGCTCAGTGGCACAGCACCTGCCTGGAAAGCTAAAGGTTGTGAGTTTGATTTCCGGTACCGGAAAAAAAAAGAAATATGGTCTCCTCAGGAGTAACGTTCCTCATCTGAGAACTCATTCATGTTTAATTATCCAAATAAGAACAGACCACTTAGGACAATCCATTAAAGAATTTCTCAAGCCAAATGTGGTGGCTCACATTTGTAACTCCAGAGATGGAGGCTGGAAGACTTCAAATTTAAGCCCCACCTGGAGAATTCAACAATTTATCAAAACTCTACCTTAAACTAAAAAATAAGAGGAGGGCTGTAGCTCATTTCAAAACCCCTAATACTGCCAAAAGGAAAAACAAATCTCAAACATCATGTCATTTTCTTGCCCCGTCTGAGAACAGCCTCTTAAACTCTATCACACCGTGTATCTTTCAGTCCTGGAAACATCCTTCCACTTAGCATGTACCTTCCCCTGAAACAGCGAAGGTGAACTACCTACCCTCCAAATTAACCAACTTTAAGCTTTCTACTGAACTAAATCCTGACAAAGTGTTTAATTCTAAGGTAAGAAAACAAACATTAACTTTAATCTGGTAAGTCTGAAAATAAACCTACACCGAAACAGTTTCTGGTAAAAGAATGATGAAAATTTTAAACTAATGCAATTTTTCTGGTTTCTTGTTGAAAGAGAAAAAAAAGTGAGTTTCAATACGTATTAAAAAGTTAAGTTCCCGAAATTTTCTTTTAAAAAGACATCAGAAGTCTCTACAACTTTAATTATCAGAAAGTAGGTAAGGCTTGTTCATAAATTCTTCACTTGTTTATGTCTTCCAACTCAAAAGCTTGACAAGGAAAGGATCTTATCTGTGTTATTCACCGTTTATATTTCCATTGTCTTTCACTGCCCATTACACTTAATAGGTGTTCAGTAATTAAAGACATGAACAAGCAAATTATCTTCTTCCTAAGTATAATAATTTCATTAATTCAACTTAAATGACTTGAAGTAGTCTCAGAAAAGAAAAACTAGAACAAAAAGTTAGTGGAACACATATAAAAGGCATTCACATCTTTACACTTCAAAATTAGCAAACTACTCAATTCTAAAACGTAAGTGATACATCTCCACTTCAAATACAGGAAATTTGCAGCGTGAAAGAATATTAAAAGACAAGTGAAGAGGCACCTGACTAGAAACCGGATCCCATCTTGGGGCTGCCAGTTTATAGTATAGGTAAGTTATTACTGATCCCAGCAAAGTAGAGTATTAACAAAGCTATAGTACTACTTTTATTCTCATGTGTACCAAAGTTTTCTGAAAATGGAAGTTATTCCCCCTTTGATCTTGCCATTATTTCCCATTCAGCAGAAACAAACAGTATGAACTCTTGTGATAAATTGAAAGTGTTTAAGTGCAGTTAATATACTCCAACAAAAAGCACAAGTACCAAAAATCCCTGTAACTTTTAGGACAAAAAAAAAAAAAAAAAAAAAGATAAATACCTGCCTTTGACCTGGCCTAGAAGTCTTTATTTAGCCTAGTGACAGTCCATACTCAATGACTCCTTTGTAAGTTGTATTTCTAAAATGTTTGTCACAAAGCACATCAACAGCTTACACAGCACATCTAAGTTTGCTAATATGCATAAGACTCCAAAAAACAACTTGTTTTCATAAATTCAACTAAAACAACAGTTCCACTACATAAAACTTAGAGATACCTTTGCATTTTGTCTAATCAGATTTTTTTTCTTTTATTCTGTTATATAAGTTCTGTCCAAGATAATTTTTAAAGATCTTTTTAACAAGTAACAAAACTTTATTCTCAACAAGTTCAACCAACCATCTTGGGGTACTGGACACTATTCTGATTTGATAAAAAAAAAAAACATGAGACACTTTTTAAAGTTTAAATGAAACAATCTTCACGAACATGAACGCTAGAATCCCGACTTCTCATTGTACAGGCACCGGCTGCGGGATGTCGCGGCTGGAGGAAAGGACTGGGGACCTGATCCCTGGAAGTGACTGCAGTGACACCTGCGGTACCGTATTTAAGGGCATCAAGCTGGGGAGCCCTCTTGTTTGTACAAGCTCCCAGCTTCCTTGCCGGTTGTACGCCGGGGAAATTACAGCCTGCCTGCCTTGGAAACGCCTTCCTGGGCAGGGAAGGGGAGCCGCCGCGGCGGGCGCGGCGGGCCGTCGCGGGCAGGCGGCGTACCTGGCTCACAGCATCCGTGGTGATGGTGGTCAGTCTGACAGTATTTGTCCCTCAAAGGCATTTTCAGCGGGTGCGACCTACTTTCCGCTCACTGTGAGAAGCTCCTCATCGCGGCGCGGCTGCGGGAAGAGGCAAGGACGCGTCAGCCCCGAACGCCCCGGGGCCCCGGCTGCGAGCTCCGGACCCGCGCCCCTC